TTCCGTGATGACCTGCAGTCCTGGATTCTCGGTAAACAGTTTACGTAAAACCGCAGCGTATATGGTAGGGCAGCACACATATGTGTCGCCTGCGTTGTGATCCAGCGGACATAAAACCAAACCTTCAAATCTGGATTTCCACGAGTGAACATCGTGACACGAAATGTACCCGCCAGGCATATTACTACGGTTATTCTTCGCAAAACAGCTGTCTACTCCAACGAGCGGAATATCAAAACTTGCCCCGAAAAACTGCTCAAACGATTCCACTATCTGCTTCCTAAGTGATTCGGAATGAGTAAACAAGTTTTTTAGAATTACGGAGATAATCCGGAAAAAAGTTCAGACTCGCTGATTCTAAAAGATGCATGACCATCAGTCCTTGGGAATGCCGAGGAAATAGAATCACAAGTACAGGAAGGTTCATAGATGACAGAGTAACCCCTAAAGTTGTGCAGAATGTCCGAAACAGTCTGGTTCTTAGTCCATACCACACGCAATTTCCTACACACTAATTGCAAGTACGATCACGGGTAGTTTAGTTCCAGTATACTATGTTGACAAACTCGCCTAATTGCAGACTTCACAACATTTTCGCCGTACCTAATACGGACGACTAGACAGGCGGAGAGACTGAGGCAGAACCGTCTACGACAGACTTGGGAGAGGATGATACGCAAGGTAGTACGGGATTTCTTGGTTGAGATGGTGCGAGCAGCATTATAGGCATCAATGAGGGAAGTGAGACTCCAAGATGAGAGGTCCCGGCGGGATTGAGGATGCTTCAAGAGTTCAACAAGACTGTCCTTGCAAAGGAGCGATTTAGAACATAAGAGTTTGATGGTGTGGAAGGAGATAGTAGTTCCAGGCTGAAACCATGCACGACAATGTTTTAGCGGGCAGACAGGGAAGTTGGAGGAGGAAATGGTGAAAAGTAACCAAATAGGCGACGAATAATCTTCCATTTATCAGAGAAGCTATTGCCGGACAGGATGTGGACACGAGGTGGGAAAGAGAGTTGAGACTGAGAAAGCTGACGGGGAATGGATATTAGACTGGAAGAAGTGAGACCGAGAGGTGAAGAGAAGTAGAAGGGAGTTGGGTGGGATAAAGTAGAAAAGGAAGAAGGTGGAAAAGATGTTCTCCTCTTCTGTCTGATCCTTTCCTTGTGTCCAGGGCGACGAAGGCGATGGCGGGAAATGCACGGTCGAGTGGAGTTGAGAGAGGGAGAAAAGTAGCGAATGAAAAATTGCTCGGTGGACAAAAGGTCATCGCCGCAAAGGATAAAGATAGGAATAGGGATATATCCTTCAGTACCTACTCTTCGTGTCCATCTATACAGTTTACGATTCCTACTTAGCGGTTTGATAGAATGAGTGGCGAACAAGTGTTCCTTCCAGTGAATATTAACAGATCGGGAAGTGCATCCTATATAGTGTTTGTACCAGGGTGAGATGAGCGCATAGACGACAGGGCCGGGACAAGATTTGAAATCATAACCGATCTTAAGTAAATGCAATAAAAGGTCACAGAATTTATTACACCAATGGACCTGATTACTAATAATTAATAATACAACGATTAATCTGAAATATCATCCGAGGGTGAGGACTTACGAAAATCGCGACAGAGCAAAGCCCACTTCCATAACGTAGATACGCTCAGGGCGCGACCTCACTCATCGTTAACGTCTTCAGTGGAAGTGGCGTAGGGCTGGTCCTGTTCATCGTCGTCCTCGTCTTGAAGGCCTTGGTCTTTCAACCAATCAGCGAATCTCCTTCTCGCGCGAATCTCAGCCACAGCAGCTTTCGACTGATCGAGCTTGATGTAAGTGATCCCCTCATGAGCACAAATCTTCTGCATATCGGCTTTCTTCGCCTGAAACTTCTGTAGCTGGGTATCTTCTGCTTTACTTGCCGTCTCATGTGTCTCCTGAGTAGCCTTGGCATTCTCTTCCTCCCCGAATCATCATCGTCGACGTGTATCGCACTCAAGCCTTAGATTCCTCGGTGTGGTTCTTACGGTCGACCGCCTATCGGTGGCTCATTGCTTCGTCAACAGCTGAGCACCCACTCTCACCACTCGTTCTTTAAGAGCTTGGATTTCCTTGTTAGCCATGTTTTCGTCTTCCTGCACCTTCTTGTAGGCCTTCTGGAGAGCCTCCAGATCTTTCGGAGTGTACACTGCGTCGCCGATGGGAACCACTCGCTGCCTGCCTTTGTCAGGTTCGACAGGTGGACTCTTCTCGGTGACGGCATCAGAGGCCCTCTTGTTATTACAGGCACTCTTCAGATGTGCAATTTCCCCTCTGAGATCTTGAAAGTCCTTCTTGAGGGAGGAATTCTCTGCTCTGAGGACACCCAACTCACTGCTTCAATCCTGCAAGGCAGTACGGACAGCTTCGAGCTCTTGGATATGTAGCCGTAGAGCAACAATCTCGTTGCTGCGCGAATTCTCGGATGAAGCCATTGTTGACTTGTTGAACTCGTTACGTGCCTTCAGCATCTCGATCTCCTTTCTGAGTACTTCCTCTTCGTTGCGCATAACGTGGGCCTTCTGAAGTGTCTCTTTCTCTCGTTGTAGCGCATCCAGACTTGACTCGGCTTTCTCACCTACACACCTAAATTTCAACTCCTCCAGTTCCCTCAGCTTACTCACATCAGTCTCGTCCTCATCTGGGAGGTCGACTTTCTTACCCAGGACAAATTCACAAACAACTTTCATGTTGTTCCTAACTATTTTTCCCAGCCTCGTCTCCTGTAGTTCTTTCTCCTTTTTTGCTTAAGCATTTCTCTCCTCTTCAATCTGTAGTCTTTTCTTCTCAGCTTCCAGCAACTCCAGTTTAGCTGCTTCTTGTTTCGTCTGCTGTCGTTCCTCCGCTTGCTCCGATAGTAGTCCGTAGATTTTGTCGAACCGATCGTCCCGATCTTGATTTCGGTAATTTCCTGACCACGGTCTCGAATAACGTTGACCGCCTTGATTGCCTCGAAAATTGTTGAATCCTCCAAATTTCGCTCCTGTGTTGTTAGTGCCCGTGCTCTGCGTCGCTTGATATGGTACAATGGCGTTGGACATGTTGGCTGCCCCCGTTCCTTGCGAAGAAGACGAAGAGTAAGAAGAGTTCGGGCAGGCAACAAGCCACCATCACCCTGACTTGAGCCGTTATTCCTGGCTCCTTGGATGTTGGCCGCCATCTCCGCTCCATTCGGGCAGCCTCGAAAGGGACACTCGCGTATGAAGTGGCCGGGTAGCTGACAAAAATGGCAAACCCCGGGCCTATACATCTCGTAACCGGAGGACTACAGACGTCCTCTGAAAATCTCCACGCACCAGAAAGAGAGAAGGCAATAGAAAAGGGGGAGGAGAGACTAGGTAGAACGCGGGAGATTAGATTGGAAGATACACAGAGTGTGCGTGATACGGGGTGAGATACAAAATGAGATACGAAGTGCGAAGATCGCAGTCCCACAACCGGGGTGACATCTCCCCGTTGGTTCTCTGTGTGTCTGTCACAGTGAAAGCAACAAACGGCATGCGAGTGCAAGCACTTCGCGTAACCGGACAAGACAAGCAAGGACAAAGCAAAGACAGACCAAGACAAGACAGAGAGCGGAAAAGAAACCCCCAAGCGCATCAATTCGAATGATAAACAGTGAAGTACATGGGGAATGTCCGTGCAAAGCGCCGAAAACCTGAAGCACGACTGACGGTTTACCCTACGCGTGTTTCGGCCGGGCCTTCAGAACACCAGCCATCATCAGGGGCTGCGCTAGAGATGGGGAGAGGAATAGACTGACAGACTACTTATACCAAAGACCGAGGCGAAAGTCAAAAAACAACTGGGCCAAGCAGAACCGGTTAGTACCGGGACAGGCCCAAAAAAGTAAAACTCGTGTGAATACTGCAGACCTACTGGGACCAATTCGTGAAACAAGAAACCCAACCGGTCCACACACACGCCCTTGATTCGTATGTTAAAATTGAAAAGAGCCTTGTCGAAATAATTGTCAGCGAACCCACGTCTTCTGAGTTCCATCTTCAACGTGAACAGGAAGCACGCCTCTGCTGCTGGTAATGTGCCCATGGCGTAAGATTAGCATGGCCAAAAAAAAAAAAAAAACACAATAACACCCGTCCATGATGATGGTGAAGATGAAGAGATGACGTCAACAGACTGACAACAGCACACGACCGCGTTTTACCACGGCTGAACATGTGGCATGTGGATAAACAATTTCGAATTTTACACCAATCGAAATAACAAAAAAGTGAAAGCCCAGGGTCAAGGCCATAGCCGAGCTATGGCAGCCTTCTCCGCCCTGGCCGACAGATCCCCAGTCAAATCCGGCAGAGCGCAGAGGCTGGCGCGTCCCCTACTACAGTCTTCCCCCGAATACAACGTACGGTCATTATAGCTGAATTTAGACTGAAAGATACACCAAGTTCAGTTATAATGACCGTACGTTGTATTCGACGGAAGACTGTAGTTTGGGCCGCCCACCAGAAGGGGCTTCATCAGGGGGACACGTCCATCCCCCGTCCTCCACCAGAAAAAACAAAAGAAAAAAAAAAAAAAAAGGAGATATAACGACGGAGCAAAATACGTTATATAATACGTTAAGTATGCATCACCCACGAACGTTTGCACCTCTGCTTCTATCTTTTTTTTTTTTTTTCAATCTGCTTTGCATCTTATCCGAACGGAAATGGAATTCTCCCCCCCACAAAAAAAAAAAAAAAAAAAAAAAAAACGAAATCGAATCTCCATCTGATCCACGTGGCATTACCCCGGACACAGCTTCGTGGCATCACCCCGACACAGCCACGTTGCATTAGCCGCAGCCACGTGGCATTCATTACCTCGACACACCCATTGGCATCACCCGTTCACAGACACGAGGCATTACCCCAACACAGCCACGTGGCATTACCCTCAACACAGCCACGTGGCATCACACTACCTTGAAAACAGAGGGAGGAAAGAGCCGACGTGGACATACCTGGAAACAGCCACGTCTCTCACATCGCGTCCATGTCCTGTGTATGTTTTGATGGCCAGCCCGCGATGAGGGTTCCATAGCCGAAGAGTGCGATCTCTTCCGCAGGTCAAGCAGTAGGCTCCGTCCTTGTTGAATCGTACGGCCAGCACAGCTCCCTCATGCCCCTTCAACACACCGCTTTCTGTCTGCGGAACCGCCTCCGCCGCAGACGAGGATGCCATCTCTCTCTCTCTCTCTCTCTCTCTCTCTCTCTCTCTCTCTCTCTCTCTCTCTCTCTCTGTGTGACACACATACAGACAGACAAAGCGCCGCTCAGTNATACAGACAGACAAAGCGCCGCTCAGTACTCTCTCTCTCTCTCTCTCTCTCTCTCTCTCTCTCTCTCTCTCTCTCTCTCTCTCTCTTTTTCTTTCTCTCTTTCTTTCTTTCTTTTTCTTTTTCTTTCTTTCTTTCTTTCTTTTTGGGGGGAAGGAGGGAGGGGCTAGGGGGACGGAGAGGAGGAAGGGGGAGGGGGGAAGCGGGGATAGATGAGGGGCGGGTTAGCTATGGCAGTGATTGGCGCCAGGAACCTAAGGGGGCTAAAAGAGCAGCAGCGCGAGACCTAAGGGGGCCAAAGAACACTAATTAGGGCACAGCGAGGAGAAAGGGGATAGGCGGGACCGACTGGGGTTTAGGGTTTTAACGCACATCGGCAGGTGATAGACAACCAATGAGAAGACGAGGACTAAGAAGAGAAGCAGCAGCAGCAGCAGCAGCAGTTGCAGGAAGAGGAGGTGGAGGTGGTGGGTATGTCACTCGCTCGTTGTCGCTAATATACCCTGTGCAATTTCCAATTTCCAATTTCGAATTTCGAATTTCCAATTTCGAATTTTCGAATTTCCAATTTCCAATTTCCAATTTCGAATTTTCGAATTTCGAATTTCGAATTTCGAATTTCGAATTTTCGAATTTTCGAATTTCGAATTCTATTCTTTTTATGGGTCTGTATAATAGAAGCAACAAAAATTTATATAGCAACAACTTGAGGCCGGAGGCCTCACAATTCTACCCCGAGTTATCATAGCAGCCCCCTCCTAAAATTACAATCTTGATGTTAAGTCTATTATACAGGCACATAACGAAAATAAAAAGCCCCAGTTTCGCTTACAGCCCCCTCCACAAGGTGCTATCTTGTCATGGAATAATACGAATGCTGTTAAAAAAAAAAAAAAAAAAAAAAAAAAAAAAAAAAAAAGAAGAAGAAGAAGAAGAAGAAGAAGAAGAAGCAACATCCGGGGGAAAAAAAGGGTAAGGACCCTCGCAGACAGCGAATCCGAGAAGGGAGAGGAAGTGGGAAGAAAACGTGGAAAGGTGGAGATGGAGGTGAAGGAGAGAACGAGGAGGAGGAGAGGGAGATGGAGATGGAAGAGAGAGCTAGGAGGTAGAGGAGAGAACGAGGAGATGGAGATGGAGATGGAAGATCGTGAGAAGAAAGAAATAGAGGAATCTCTCTCTCTCTCTCTCTCTCTCTCTCTCTCTCTCTCTCTCTCTCTCTCTCTCTCTCTCTCTCACACACACAC